ACAGGCAGCGTAACAGATATTAACCAGGTCTCTGTGTGTGACCCGAAAACAAGAAAGCTCATGAATGCTGCTGTAACTACCATTACCCAAGTCTGGGAAAGCAATTTTTATCCATCCATATCATCTGGTGACATATTGTGACCAAAGCAATTCCGCCTATAAGAGCTCTAAGCTTCTTCCTGGCAAATAACAAAAAAGTTTTAAGTTTCTTTCTATAGCACATCATGACAAGACAACACCTATGTCTTTAAAAAAAGCACCCTCTGCTTTCTGCAGCAACATGGCAGCACGTGTCCTGTAATGTAATGACGTGTATTTCTTCCACCTGGGAAAAGAATACTGTAGTATCAACCCATTCAGGCTCAATCACCCACAAAAAGGAAGACAAATTATTCACCGATGGCAATATTAGTAGCTCCAATATGTTTCATTGTGCTGCAAAAGGAAGATTATCCATGTTCAAGATTCCGTGACAGCCCTGAGGCTGGCCAGGACTGAAGGTATGCTATGTGCACCTATGCACATACACAAATAACACCCATGGAACTTAAGAGAGTTCAAGAGAACCGTTCTCAGAATTTCTTCCAGGGCACAAAGAGTGCCTGAACCACTGATAGTTGCTTCGCTCGTGTAGTGGAATCCAAACCCCAGATTCAGGGGTTTATGCATGCTTAAAAGAGGTGGGTGTGGAAAGACAAGCCGGCAACCTGCCTCTGCCGAGCAGGAAGCTCTGCAGAGCACTGCAGTAGGAAATGCCAAACACAGGGCTGAACCTGAGCTTCCCACCTTTCCCTAGTACTTAAGAGCCAGCAGCAAGGTTGCAGGGAAGCACCTTGATCCACTTGCAATGCAGAACCTGTGGATTTCTTTTCCATAGAAGCTTCTACAAAATTCAGTGACAGATTTGAGGGGGCTCACGGTTTGCAACAGGCTAGTTACAGGGGGTGAGGACACGTCTCAGGATGCGAGAGACCAGGAATCAACTCCCTCCTAAGCCTGGAATTCAAAACTACAGCTCCTGCTTCTTTGCAGGGTGCCCTCACACTAGTCTATGCATTACTGTGGACAAGAGTGGAAAGGGTTGACGCAGCCGCCATCTCTTCTACTGGAACTGGGACATTGTGGAGAGAAGAACGGAAGATTGATACGGTCAGAAGAAGAACACGGAGAAGGAGGATGTGCAAAGAGGGAGGTTCTCCTTCCAGCTGTGGGTCGTATTTATCCAGGTGCCCTTCAGAAGTGAAATGCATCAACAAGAGTGAAGATGAAACCCCAGGACTTCTCCATACTGATGCAAAGAAGGCTGAAAATTCCTTCTTTATAGGCTCTGAATGGATTGTAGGCAAGAAAATACAGGCCCTGCCTCTGCTCCTTAAAACTACAGAAACTGACAATAGTAAAAATGCTTAATACATATTATTGTGATAGTGCAAAATCATTAGGAGTGCAAAGTCTAGTATCGTTTGGGGCTGTTATGTCTGTAGCTATTACAGATTTACATTATTTATTTATCAGTTTTAATAACGATATTTTCAGAATTACTGCAGATAATTTCATTAACAGGATAATGATGTCTTTAAAGGAGGATATGCTTTTATTTCGGCAACAAGAAAAATCCTTTCTTTGTTATTTTAGTCCCTTCTAATAGTTCTTTTCCATTTCAAAGCATGGGAAAAATCCCCAATGTATTCTAAAGTCCAAGATTAAAATCACTTCTCACAAAGGCTAATTCTGCTTTAGCTTCCAGGTATCTTTTGAAAATGCTTTTCAAAAAGTAATTTTCATTGTAATAGATCCATTTTTATAGGACATTTGGTTCCTTTCAGTTTGCAAAACATTCTTATTCTAAAGCTTAACCTGAAATGCCTATTTCAAAATGGAAGACAGCCCATCAAAGGCATCCTTCTATCTTGTAACATTTAGAAATACTTTTACATGAAGATGTTGACCATTGTCAAAAGGCACCGAGCACAAAAGAAATGCCAAGTTGGCAAGAGAATATCGCATCAGCCCTGCATGACCAGATACAACTGATAATAGGATTAAACGGTGCTAGGGAAAATTTCGTTTCCTGAGCAAAATTATGTTACTATAGTTGAAATAAATTAAATCATTTCAGTAAGGCAAATTAGTTATCTTACCTTCTGCAGCAGTAAAAAGGGGCAGGCTCATTTGAACGTTTTTCTGCAACCAAATGGAAGAAAGAAACCTACATCCACTGACTCCTTTCTCTCATGAAATACACTTGACCCGCAAACCTCTCTGTCTTTTCTACCTTTTTTTTTTTTTTTCATTTGTGTTTGCTGCATGGCTGGCCACATCCACCTTTGTCATGTCTACAACAGTGATTTCCTTCCTTACTATGACTGAAGGAAGTCTCTTTTGGATTCAGAGCAATGCAACACACAGACAAGTGCATTAGTAAAATGTTCTAAGAGAAGGGGAAAAAAAGGAGGTCTGAGGTAGATACGCACACCAAGTGCTCACCTCTTTTGCTCAACAACTGTAGAATTGGGTTAAAATCATAAATTTTATTGTACTGAGCAGACAGACAGACAATGTGAAGGTGCATGAGGATGGATAGCCAGATGGTATAGGGAACCGAAGGTTTAAACAAGTACAATAAAATTGGGTCAAACCCTACTGAGGCAAACTCTTCTGAATGGGAGCTTTGCCTGAATAGAAATGACAGGTCTGGCTCATTCAAGTCAGCAAAAGCTCAACTTACCCAGACAGAAAATAAGGACCACATCTTCTAACACAGAGCCAAACACTCTGTGTTGTACCATTAACTACATTGAATTGACAACGCTGATTATTTTGGGAAAAAGCAACATAATATACTTCTGGTGACACTTTTTTCAAGAAGTTCCTTCTGTTCATCAATGAATTCTACTGTGAGTTCCAGTTTCAGAGCTGGACATAAACAAGAAGCTTCCACCAGAATGCATTAATGACTCAGCACATCATTTCTGCCCATACTTCCCTTACAAATCTACACTTTCAGGATTTACACAGGCCATCTGCTCTGAAAAATGAAGAGCTGAATCAAAATCTTGTCATGGAAAAGTCTCTTTTGACTAACGTTAAAGGAAATGATTTGAATGTTTTTAAAAACCGTGGCATTGTGTAAACCATCAAAACGTCTCCCAAACACTGACCTTTCAGTCCTTGCAACCACCCCTGCAGGGTAGGTAAGTAAGTGCTATTATATTGACTCAATTCTACATGCAAGGAAGGAGAAAAACAACATTAAGTGACTTGCTGAGTCATATGCACAGCTGGGAACAGCACAGTCCGGTAGTTCATAATAACCTGGAGTTGTATAGGGTTTTGCCACCTTCTTGTGCTAATACAACCAGCAAAATGGTTTCCATTTACTTAGGGGGCAATCTACAACCTCCTGTCAATTAATCAATACCAGTACTTTATAAAATCCTAAAATACATGTAAATAATACTGCTGATACAAACAGTATGCAAAGCTAATCCTCAACTAAGGATGTATGATGTAAGAACCTTGACATTGGCCTGAAGCAGAAGAACAAGCCCTTTACTGTCATATGAAAAATCAAAAAGCATACGCTGAACTAGTCAAGCGAACTATATATTAAAAAATAGTGGTAAAACCCTGGTAACAATTCTAAAAGCTTTTGCTAATGCCCTACTAACTTCCTTTTCAGTTAGTAGTTTTGATTGCCATTACCTCTGGATGATGAGTCTAGAAACTCTTGTACTTTTTTTTTTAAACAAACAATGTGCAGATGTTTTTTTAAAAAAAACAACAATCAATTAATCAAATTTTTTTATATTGGTTACTAACCGCATCCAGTAGGTATTTCCAGTACAGTGGACTGACAAATGTTGTTGTTAACACAGCCTGTAATTGCATTATCTCAAAAATGACCGCAGGATGGAAGATGCCTAATTGCAGTGTCCTGATAAACTGAGGGTCAGACTATGTGAGTACATGAAATACAAACCGTCCACTTGCAAAATTAATAGAGGCTCTGTGTTAAAATACCAACAAAGTTTGTTCAGCAGATGATAAGAAATTATTTTCATGCACTTATTTAACAAAAAGAAAGAAAAAAATGCTAAAAGAAAATCCAAGAAGGAAACAAATGGACACATAAAAATGCTATTGACATGGCAGAGTTCAACTGACAGTCCCCTGGAGATTCTGAACCCAAATCCTTCCCTCATATCCACATGGTATGGCTCCGTTTTAACACACGGCTGTCTCCCTATACTGAGGGCCTTGATGCAGCAGTCGTCTTCTGTTGAACGAAGCACTGACACACACGCTTACCATTGTGACAACTTCACTGGCCTTTTAGGCCTCTGCTTAAAACTAAGCCAACGCTAAGTTCTTTGCTGGAGGGGATTTTAGCAGGAGGAAAATGTAGTGATCATGGGCTACTGAAATTGAACATTCATTGTGCCGAACAGAGTAGAAATTTGCTTTGTGAGACTAGAATTTGACTCCTGCACCCTGTGTACAGAACCCCCAATACACGTAGGCATTGAAGCATGAATTACAGGTTGAAGACCAAAGAAATGATCCAACTCTGAATCTCCTTGCTTTCATGCATTTAAGATTCCAAAAACAAAGCTAATGGTAATTAAAAAAAGCAGCCAAACAAATCTGAAGAAAATAAAGATGACCCAATACTGAATCATAGTTTTGGTGACCACGCTGGGACAGCAGACATCTTGGTTCATATTGCATATAACAGACAAAAAGGTGAGCATCACCATCTTTTTTTTCTTTAATATGGATGTACTTAACATATCCTGCCAGTTACCTCTGTGCATATGGGTCTACCTCATCCATGCACTGCAGCTGGTTTGCAGATGGGGAGTTATTGCTGGGGAATGCCTTATCTTTTCACGTGAAGCTGCAGAAAGTATCTCCATTTTCTGATTCCCCCATCCTTTAGATTCATGTCTCATCCCTCTGCTGACAGCTGCGCACAGCAACGTCCAGGAGACCCTTACCTTCCTCCAGAGCTCCAGTCTGCTCAGAAGCTGGCGACGGAGGCGGGGAAGGAGGCAGGTTGGCTGACTCTTCGACTGCTAGAAATCGAACAGTGAAAACGAGATACAGCAATTAATTCCTGGGAGACTAATGCTTGATACAAGCTGCAGTCAGCCCGTTCTGCCCAGCTGAGAGAATTATTTGATGAGGACTTGTGCCTAGTGGGTTTTCAGATAGATCCTTTCAGAATACATGGATTTTTAAAGTTATAATAGTTTGGGGTTTTTTTTCCAGATGGTATGAATTGCTTTCAAAATTCTGGTCATAGAGTACAATACAAAAATCAAGTACAAAATTATCTTCTAAAACAGCATTGCCACTTAGAAAACCTTCAGTCACCCAAGGCAACAACAATAAAGCATCTGAGCGTGAGAGATTTTATAAATTCACGCTGACTATCAGAAACTGGCATCCAGTCTCTTCATTTTACCTTGAGTACATGAACAAAAAACATTCTGCACGCTTTTTTTTTTCTTCTGCTGAGTCCAAGGTTAATCACAGAATACATGCAAATATTGCTTGTCTAAACACAAAAGCATAGGGAACTTATGTCAGCCGTGACATAACAGTGATTCAGCTGAGCAAGGCGCAGTGAAATCTTAGATGCACTTAGATCATGTTTTTACATTCATTCCCAGTCACGAGACTAGATGCTGAAACCAGATGATGTTTTTTCAATTATTTCAATTCAACTATGACGAAATCCTAAACAAACTGCTTCTTAAATGAACTCAGCACAACCTCTGCATCTGATTTCATACCAATCACTTTGAGAATTTTTTTCTTTAAAAACAGATCCATCACTGGGGCTTAAGAATGTTTTTTTTTAAAAAAAAAAAAAAAAGAAGTAACAAATCTGGTTTAACAGATCTGTCTTATAAACAGCACCTCTCAACAGGCGGATCTCAGTTTCTGATTCAGGCCTTCTTCCCAAGCATAGAAAGGCCAGTTTCAAAGCCCCAGCAGAATTTGCCAGGCCTCCTCCTATTGATTTCCATGTGGTTTGGAAGACACCCTTATGTGACTTGTCCTTAAGATGTGCTGTCCAGGGACAGAGTATTTATATCTTCATCACAATGCCATTCTACCCGCACATAAATACTTAACAGTCACTGACCACAGGAACTGTAACACCGACAGTTGCTAACTGAAGACATACTTCTCAAAGTATTTTTTAAATGTCTTATCTAACTAGATGGAACTGAATATCCACTTTGCCTCACCCAGGCCCCAGTGAAGCAATCTGTGCTTAAATATGTATGAAGCGTTTTGCAGAACTGGGGTCTTCCATGTAAAATTGAGTCTCTGTAAAGAAGGGAATTACTAAGCAACACATCTCCCTGCTGCAGTTCAAAGTTAGTTCAATGAAGCAAAAGATCTTGGGAACCAAATTTCCAATATATTCTAAATTTCCAAATATTCTAAATTACTCATTGACTTTAATTCATTCCTAAGCAGGGTCCAGCCACTGTAACAAACAAAGCAGAGCGCCTGTGGGGAAAATACCACAAGGCATTATTTTGATTTGATCACAAAGTACGTGCATTCAGCAGAACTTATCCTGGGGCAGACGTGCAAGACTTGCCCTACCTCAGGATGCAGTATGGCCTTTGTCCGGCCTTTGGTGTACATGTTTTGAGCTACTGCGGAAGTTTCCTGGCAGGGAGGAAGCACTGTAGGTACGAATGGCTGTATACTTACTTTTTTTTTTAATATATATATACACACACACATACTTGTATTTCAGCGAGACATTTCACAAAGGAGCCAGCAGGAAGATGGGGGCACAGCATGGACCAGTGGCAGTGGTACCACTCCCAGTCTGGACCGCTGGCATTTGCTTCTACCACATGTAACTCCCTCTCCCACAATCTCCCCTCACCCTGCCCGGCTCCTAACCCCTCTCCCACCCTCAGCCGGTGTGCCCCATTCCTCTCTGCTTCCTGCTTAGGTGCTGCTCCTCCATCGTCTTGAGTAGCTCCACCCAACCACCAAAGCCTCACTTTCTTTTTATATGCCTCTCCTCTAATCTTTGCCTCTTCAGATATTAATCTTTCTCTCTCACGCCGTACATGGCTGAACACAAAGAGGCTCCGAGCGCTGCTGGGTCCCACCAACCACGACGACAAAGCCACTACCACCAATTACATTCACAGCTGCGCCGCTCAGGAGTCAGAGATCAGGTGGAGAACTGCTGTGAGAGCAAACAGTGAACGAGACAGGCACAGGGCCGTGAAGAACCGGGGCAACACGGATTCCGCTACTGTTACCTGGTTACTGCTGTTAAGTGCTGCTGTTCCTGCAGCACTTCTCCTGTGGTGCTGCAGTTTACCCGTGACCATAACCTATGCGAATACACAGCTGTAACTGCTTTTTGTAATACACATACATGTAACATTTGCAGACACGAGGATACTTTGAACATTCTTTGTCTCGTTTTACCTAAAGGTAGTGGTCCAGGCTGATCTTTGTGCTGGGCTTCTTTTTCCTGTTCGCCTTTCAGGACTGCTACAGCTTCAGCTGTTACTACTTGTACTATCCTCGCAGACACTTCTTCTGTGGCAGCAGCAAAGTTAGAAAAAACAAAGAAAGGTATGCTAATGAGAACGATGTTTTAAAATTATAAAGATTAGCTTAAACAATAAAAAATGGAGGCTGAATTAATCCATTTTTAAAAGGTAATCTTCTTTCCTGAAATATAAGCAAATCATTGAAAACAAAATAGAAGGACTAGATATTCCAAAGATCTCAGTGGAAAATGCTGAGTACTTATAAAAACCAGGACCCCAGCCTTTACAGTAAGATGCACAAAGCATCATTATTAAATGCTCTTTCTGTTAGGGACAATGTGCAGCAACTTCAAGTTTTTAAGATGATCATTCATTAAATGCCTAGAAATTTTTTTGCAGCTACTGTTTTGCAAACAGGGGTAGAATGGCCAGCTGAGTAATGGCATTTCTTGACATTTAATATATGGAGTTAGCTGCATTCTTACATGCGCTTTGGATGATATTTCCTCCTCATCAGCACACAGTTAGTATGCATTAAAGGCACTTCCCAGACAGACATCTG